AGAGAAGAGAAGAGAAGAGAAGAGAAGAGAAGAGAAGAGAAGAGAAGGGAAGAGAAGAGAAGGGAAGAGAAGCGAAGAGAAGGGAAGGGAAGGGAAGGGAAGGGAAGGGAAGGGAAGAGAAGGGAAGGGAAGGGAAGGGAAGAGAAGAGAAGGTCTCAAGGTCTAAAGAAACAACAAGAAAACTAAAGAACAACAAAAAGACAGGTCTACAGAATCTGAAAGACAGAGAAGACAGAGCAAAACAATGCGACTAGAAGGCTTTCTCAAAGCCCTTGAGCTCAGCCCCCATTTGTTTGCTTTCTTCCCTTTCCAGTTTCGCAATGTGTTTGCGTGAGTTGCAAGCCATTTGTGTTTGTGAACATTCAACTCAGACTCTTAGCAACAAGAAGCTACTAGGGGCGCTCCTGGCCTTACTACTGGGAACGAGAAGCTACCAGGGGCTCTTGGCATCGCTGCGAACGGAGCAAAGACGCTACTAGGGGCGCTCTTGGCATTTCTACTAGGAACAAGGACGCTACTAGGAGCAAAGGGCATTTCTACTGGGAGCAAGGACGCTACTAGGGGCTCCTGGCCTTACTACTTGGAGCAAATAGCTACTACTAACAAGAAGCTACTAGGGGCGCTCCTGTAGCTCTTGACCGTCGTGCCGAGACCCTCATCATCATGACCTCGAACGTGGGCGCAAAGGCGAGACGAGAGCCCAAAGGAAGCGGATGTCCCCTAGCGATGGCCTCCCCAAAGCGGCCGACCAAAGGCATGAACGCTACTAGGAACAAGTGCATCGCTACTAGGAACAAGTGCCTTACTAGTAGTAACAAGAAGCTACTAGGAACAAGTGCATCGCTTCTAGTAACAAGTGCCTTACTAGTAGTAACAAGAATCTATTAGTAACAATGAGCCCCCAGTAGCGTCCTTGCTCCTAGTAGTAAGGCACTTGTTTCTACTAGCTTCTTGTTACTACTAGTAAGGCACTTGTTACTAGAAGCGATGCACTTGTTCCTAGTACCGTCCTTG